AACATAAAAAAAAAAAAAAAAAACAAAAAAAAAACACAACCAAAAATTAATTATCAGTCATGATTTCTGAATGTTATCTGTGAAATTATTAAAAATTCAAGTTTTTATGAGAATGTAACAATTTAATAATTTTTTACCATTTATTATCAGTGATGATTTCTGAATGTTTCTATGAGGTTATTAAAAAAATGCAGTGATTACAGGAATGAAACAGATTTAAACTTTTTTTTTAAACCCCCCATTTATTATCAGTGATGATTTCTGAATGATTTCTGAATGTTATCTGTGAGATTATTAAAAAATTCAAGTTTTTATGGGAATGTAACAGATTTAATCATCTTTTATCATTTACAATCAGTCACTAATTTTGAATGTTAACTCTAAGAGTATAAAAATAATGCAGTGATTACATGAGTGTAACAGATTTCAACATTAAAAAAAAATTTAAAAATTATTATCAGTCATGATTTCTGAGTGTTATCTGTGAAATTATTAAAAAAAAATCAATTTTTTATGGGAATGTAACAGATTTAATAATTTTTTACCATTTACTATCAGTGATGATTTCTGAACATTATCTGTGAGATGATAAAAAAATGCAGTGATTATGGGAATGGCACAGATTTAAACATCTTTTATCACTTACTGTCACTCATGAATTCTGAATGTAACCTGTGATAAAAAAAAACTGCAGTGATTGTGGGAATGGAACAGATTTAATCATCTTTTATCAGTTACTATCCATCATGAATTTGAATGGTACCTGTGAGAGTATAAAAAAAATGCAGTGATTACAGGAATGGAACAGAGTTTAATTTTTTTTTTTTTTGAAAAAAAACCATTTCTTATCAGTCATGAATTCTGAATGTTACCTGTGATAAAAAAAAAATGCAGTGATTACAGGAATGGAACAGATTTTAACATAAAAAAAAAAAACCACAAGCCAACAAAATCCCATTTACTCTCAGTCATGATTTCTGAGTCTTATCTGTGAAATTATTAAAAAAAAGTCAAGTTTTAATGGGAATGTAACAGATTTAATAATTTTTTACCATTTACTCTCAGTGATGATTTCTGAACGTTATCTGTGAGATTATTAAAAAATGCAGTGATTATGGGAATGGCACAGATTTAATCATCTTTTAGCACTTACTGTCAGTCATGAATTCTGAATGGTACCTGTGATAAAAAAAAATGCAGTGATTACAGGAATGTAACACATTTAAAAATTAAAAAAAACCCAAACACACCCATTTCTTATCAGTCATGATTTCTGAATGTTATCTGTGAGATTATTAAAAATTCAAGTTATTATGGGAATGTAACAGATTTAATAATTTTTTACCATTTACTCTCAGTGATGATTTCTGAATGTTTCTGTGAGATCATAAAAAAAATGCAGTGATTACAGGAATGGAACAGATTTAATCATCGTTTATCACTATCAGTGATGATTTCTGAATGGTATCTGTGGGATCATTAAAAAATGCAGTGATTATAGGAATGTAACAGATTTAAACATTAAAAAAAACACAACACCTATTTCTTATCAGTCATGATTTCTGAATGTTATCTGTGAGAGTATTAAAAAATTCAAGTTTTTATGGGAATGTAGCAGATTTAATAATTTACCATTTACTATCAATGATGATTTCTGAATGTTTCTGTGAGATGATAAAAAAATGCAGTGATTATGGGAATGGCACAGATTTAATCATCATTTAGCACTTACTGTCACTCCTGAATTCTGAATGGTACCTGTGATTAAAAAAAAAAATGCAGTGATTACAGGAATGGAACAGATTTAAACATTTTTTAAAAAAAAACCCATTTCTTATCAGTCATGATTTCTGAATGTTATCTGTGAAATTATTACAGAAATCAAGTTCTTATGGGAATGTAAGAGATTTAATAATTTTTTACCATTTACTCTCAGTGATGATTTCTGAGCATTATCTGTGAGATTATAAAAAAATGCAGTGATTATGGGAATGGAACAGATTTAATCATCTTTTATCATTTACTATCAGTCAGTAATTCTGAATGGTACCTGTGAGAGTATAAAAAAACTGCAGTGATTACAGGAATGGAACAGATTTTAACATTAAAAAAA